TCCCTTCTGCAAGAAACTGCCCCCTGATTTATAAATACTAGATGGAAAATGATGTATATAGCAAAAGTGAATCCCTTTTCTACCTGGCCAATGAAAAGATGGGAGCTTGAATCCAACAGGGATGCGGGAATCATTGGACCCCATGCCACGTCGGCTGCATGAACAGAAGTTAAAGGTCTGGACCGAGGGAGGTGCTGGTCCCACCCACTTTGGCTGGGGTCAGAACACGGCCGGAGCTCTGGCCTTGGCTCTGAGGGCTGAACTATGAAAACGCCCAGTTCAGGCTGGAGTCCCCCCCAGAGGAGGGTCAAGAGAACAGGAAGTCAGGAGTGCCCCGAGACCTGCATCCTCGGAGGGAGGTAGAGGTAACGACGACCTTTCAGCAGCAAACGGTAAAGTGTGTGCAGCCTGGAGGGAAGGGGGTGATGCTTCTTCTCTGTGGGCCCACAAAGCAGATTTGGGGCAAGCAGACCGAGGGTACAAGAAAATGCATTTCAACGCAGCAGAATGAGACACTTTAACCTGTCACAACCTGCCCAGGACAGCCCAAGGCAGCATAGACTGCAGTGGAGGCCATGCGCCCCAAGTCCGCTGAGACAGGTGGGCAGGAGACTGACAACCACCTGGCAGGTCCCGTGGGCTGGACATTGTGCCAAGCATTCAGTTGCCTTTAAGCTCCTCCCAGCCTTTGTAGAGTTGACCTGTTGACCTGCATGAGCAGCAGAGGATACTGACCCACCTCCCAGAGGCAATGAGGCGCTTAGAGAGGTCGGGTAACCTGCCCAAGGTCACACAGTGGAGCAGAGCTGTGACTAGGACCCAGGTCTTCCTCCAAATCATACTGGGGGTGGGTAGGAGGTGAATTAAGCTCAGCTGGACCGCTGGCTTCCACTCTCACCTTTGGCATGTCCGAGGTCTTCCCAGGATGGGGGAGGATCAGAACATCACCCTTCATAACTTCTCTCAATTCCATCATGATCTTTTCACCTCAATAACTGTGGCTTTGCTTCAGGGCTACATTCTCTCCATGCTGCACCGCCCTAGATCATTCTGGAAGCCTCCCCCAACTGCCCTCACCTTCCTCTTAAAATCCAGGGACATTGGGAGGTACATTAGAATCATCAGGGAGCTTTAGAATATACTAGGGCTCCTCCAAAAGTTACACATAAAGCTATAGTAATCAAAACAGCATGGTATAGGGCTTAAGGAGAGACACACGGACAAATGGACTAGAACTGAGAGCCCAGAAACAAACCTATACCCCTATGGCAAATTGATTTTCAGTAAGAGTGCCAAGACTATTCAATGGGAAAAGAATAGTCCTTTCAACAAACGGTGCTGGGAGAACTGGACAACCACATGCCAAAGAATGACGTTGGGCCCCTACCTCACACCATATACAAAAACTAACTCAAAATGGATCCATGACCTACATATAAGAGCTAAAACCATAAAACTCCTAGAAGAAAACAAAGGGGTAAATCTTTATGACCTTGGATTTGGTAATAGATTTTTAGCTATGTCACCCAAAGCATGAGCAACAAAAGAAAAAGTAGATAAACTGGAACCTGGGGACAGGTTCTCCTGGGGCAGCCAGGCTTCTGTCACCCCCTCCCCGCCACCTGCTTCCCGCTGTCAGATCTCAGGAGGAGGAAGATCCCCATGCTTCCTAGAAACTGCCTTCACTGGCTCGCTCAGCCTGCTGCAGAGGGCTGGCTAGGGAGATTAAAAACATCAGGGGACTTCCCTTTCTCCCTGAGCTCTGAATTCCGTGCAAGGCTGGGTGGAGAACGCAGGAGGAGGGCTACCATGAATGTCACGGGGTGATGCTGTGAGTCCTGCAGGGGGCCTCCTGGACGCTGTGGGGACCTCTGTGGGTGCTCTGGGGAGTCGCAGAGGTTGTATGGGTGCTGTCCTGAGAACGTGGGAAGCCACTGGGGTGCTGTGGGATGCTGTGTCCAACACACTGTCTTTGGGACAGGAGCCGTGTGTTTAGGTCCCAATCTGACTGCTTTTTGGACATGAAACCTGGAATAATTTACAATTTCTCCGAATCCCAGCTGTCCGCACCTATAGTTTATTAATACCTGCCTCTTGGGGCATGGGGACGATCAGCGATTATCTACAGAAAGGGTCCGGTAAATGTCGTCGGGAGTGAAGTGTAAACCATGGGATAAAGGCTCAGGAAGAACTGTTCACACCCAAGGTGGCCCCACACCCCAGGGTGTCAGAACAGAGAGCTGACACAACCCAGGCCCCACTGTCGGCCCTTTTATAGACCATGCGTGGAAAGAGGTATGTGTCTCCACAGTAACCTCCCTGTTTGGTCACAAACACCCGGCTCGTCCATCCCAAGAGCCCGAGCCTCTTCAAGGGGGTCACCTTGGGAGGCCACATTATCCCAGGGGACTTCTGTCATGCAAAGCAAGCAGGAGGGTCCTCCCCCTCACAGCCACCCAGTGAGGTGCATGCTATCTGCCCATTTGATAGATGAGAAAACTGAGACTCTGGACACCAAATTACTCACCCGGAGTCAAAGAGCTACGGAAGAGCAGAGCCGGGACCCAGCCTCGGCCAGTCTGGCCCCCAAACCCCAGCAGACATTTCCCATAATGGCACATACTGTCTGCCTCCTGCTGATGGTCCTCCTTGTATTCTCCCCGGGGACTCTACACTGATCTGTTTCCTAGCTAACAAGGGGGGCGGGGCTGACTCGCTTTGCTCCCCTGCAACCTTCCTGAAGGTAAACCGAGAACAAAAGCACCCCTGCTGCTTTTCTCTGTACTTAAAGAGATTCCTGCCTCTTGTATACCGAGGCTCACGGCTTCCCCTGATGGAGAAACATCCCTAGCAGAGAAGTCCTGGGGAAGTTAAGCTTTTCCCGACTCGCTTCAGCGCCTTCTCCTGATTAAGAAAAGCGTGCGGGATCCTGGCTCTGTGATAAGGGAGTGGCTTCCTGGGGGGAGCAGGGCGGGCTGCCAGGAGGCTGACGGTTGAGATTCTGGCCCAGGCAGCCGGCAGGGCAGGGTGAGCCGCATGACACAGGGGACCCGGGGCCCAGCCTGGCCCTGCGTTATCTGCGTCTGGGAGCCAGCCACCGTGCCTTGGATTCCGGCCTGAAACATCCCGGCTGGCTGGCGGCACACTCCAAAAGTGGAAGAATGAGCCCAGAGGCCGGGGGGGGGGTATCAGATAGGTGACTGGGAAAGTGACCCAGTGCTTCCCAAGCACGGCGCCCGAGGCAACTGGAACCGCAAATGCCATCCCATGGCTGGGGGCGGCACCCCACAGTGCGCACACCCCATCAGTCCGCGCTTCTAGAAGCAGTCTTGGGGTGGGAAGGTGGGGGGGCGTCTGTACCACCCTCATCTCATCTTCTCCCAAAAACAACCCCATGGGTAGCGCTATGCTCCCATTTTAGAGATCAGAAAACCAAGACCAGGGGCGCCTGGGTGGCTCAGTTGGTTAGGCGACTGCCTTCGGCTCAGGTCATGATCCTGGAGTCCTGGGATCGAGTCCCGCATCGGGCTCCCTGCTCGGCAGGGAGTCTGCTTCTCCCTCTGACCCTCCCCCCTCTCATGCTCACTCTATCTCATTCTCTCTCTCAAAATAAATAAATAAAATCTTAAAAAAAAAAGTGAAAACCAAGACCTGCAGAGATGTCACAATGAGCCCAAAGGTTCAAAGCCAAAAATCTAGGATAAGGAAACAAATCATTTTTATGTCCTTTCAAACAATGTGATTTCAAGAAGTGATCTGGCTTCCAGGATTTTGTTAACCTTAAGATTCAAGTCACAGAGTCACTCAAAGGAAAACACACAAGAATTGTAGGGTCGTTCAGACAGGGCTTCAAATCTCCACCATACCCCACTCACAGCTGCATGACCTTGAGCAAGTCACTTGACTTCTCTGAGGCCTGGTTCTCTCCTCTCTAAGATGGAGGTGATTTTAGTGCCAAGACCACAGGGCCGTTAAGAGGACTGAATGGATGGTGTAGGGCTTGTGCCTAGAACAGCGCCTGGCATGCAGAGGCCCTCAGTGTTGGTTGATGCGATGCTTCCCAGCAGCCAGGCCTCAAACTCAGTCCATCTACCTCTCAGACCCTGTGGTCTTTTCACCAAGGCTCTGAGGCATCCTTTGGCCAAGACTGGCACTCAAATCTGCACAGTCTTCCGCAAGCCCCCACCCCCTCTCTGCTTCCCTGCTGCCTCACCACACCCATCACTTCCTCTCGTTCAGCCTGGGGCTGGGAACCTCAGAAACTGAGCCATGAGGCCTGGGACAGAGATTCAAGTCACTGTTGCCCATTCTACTGGTGCGAAAACGAGGCCCCATGAGAGAAATGGCTTCTAAGGACCCTTGAGGCACCTGGGCCAGAGGACAGATGTCCTGGCTCTTCATTCAGGAACCTTCCATGAGGCCACACACCCCATCACCAGTCCTGGGATTGTGGGCAGCCCAAGAAGCTTCCAGAACCCAAGAAGCAAACCAAGACTTTTCCATTCTCATTTCCATCCTGGAATGTGAACTGTATCCAAAAGAGTCCTGAGGTAGAGGGTGGGGGTGTCATTCTAGAAAGGTCTTTTCTTCTCACAATCCTAAGACTATGGAGGGTGTGGGAGGAGGGAGTGGGAAAGAGCTCTGCCTTCCCTGGGAGGGCTCACTGCCTCCCGTGCTTCAACCCTCACTTCCTGGACCAACCCCGAGGAGCAACCATGACGGGCAGCCCACTCATGGGGCAGCCGCCAGCCCCAGTGAGACCCTACCTTAGCACCAGCCTCTCTCTCCTCACGCCTCAGCTGTGCTCCCCAACCCTGAACAAAAATGTCTGGGGTGGGGACAAGAGGGAAGCTGCCCTTTGCTTGCCCTGCACTCCGGCAGCAGCTGAAAGCTCTCTCAGTTGGCAGGAGAGGGTTTGTCGAGTGGAAAGAGAAGAGGAGAGAAGATCAGACTCTTATTTGAATAAGATGCCGCCATGTTGCCCTGTGGCCAAATCATACCTCTTTCAACTGGCGTCTGTTCCTTCCAGGAGAGTGAGGATTCTCTTGAGGTGGCTTTCTGATGGCTTCAGGATCAACTCTAGAAGGAGAAGAGAGAGGTGTAAATTTTAAGAAGGCAACAGCCAGTGGGGCATGTGGCTGCTGGGGGCCACCTCAGTTCAGACCCCCTAGGTTCCTTCTCTCTTCTTCCATCTCTGCAGGTGCAGAAGCCAGACGGGACAGTCTCGGCCAGAAAGACAGAAAGAACTAAGCACCCAGCCCCACATCCCATTCCGGGATGGCGTCCCCAGAGCCTACGGACTGGCACATACTTTCAGTCTTCCAAAATACCCAGGAGCCTGTCCAGTGTGCACGTGATGACGTCACGCATGCTAATCACAATATCACATCACATTTCTTTGCTTCTGGCTAGAACATTACCAACTCGTCGCGGAAACTCCATTCTCCTCAGGTGGAAAAAAGCCTTTCTGAGTAATGGTGAAACTGAAGGAGAATTAATCATTGCTTAATGAATGCAGGCTTTGGGGGCAGATCAACACTTTCCAGATCTGGTATCCATGAAGAGATAAATAAGAAGAGGCTAGGTCTTTGGTAGTGAAAGGAGCAACTCAGCCCCAGAGTGCAGGGGCCAGAAGTCCAACCTCTCCCCCCAACTTCCTCTCTGTCAGTTTGACGGAGAGCCCCTGGGTCACAGGAGAAGGATCAAATTCGCCACGTCCAGGCCACATACCTGCCAGCCAAGGCTGAGGCCAGCCCCGGGGGACCGGCTTGTTCACATGCACGGCTGAGGAACAAAAGAGCGAAGCTGACAGCACAGATGGGATAGCCGAGTCCCCTGACCCCCAAATCTCCCAGACTCCCGCCCTCCAGGACCGGTCGAGTTTCACGTTGTCTCAGATGATGATGTCGACAATCCCATGAGACGGTATCCCCGCTTTGGGGATGAGGGCCACAAACCCAGAGGAATTAAATAACTTGCCCAAGGTCGCCACGGCGAAATGGGGCAGAGCCGGGACTGGAAGTCAGGTCCGTGGGAGGTCAAACCTGGCGTCCATACCATGTCCACAGGGCAGGAGAGCAATGAGCTCCAGGGCTGCTCTACGGATCCTAGCTCAATGCACGCTGCGCATAGAAGAGTTTCTCAGGACTCCCTGCAAACCGATGGGGACCGGGGCTTGGCCAGAGGACGGGACCCCAGTTGGCTATCTTTGCCTCCGAAGTTCACCCAGGCAGAGTCGACCCAAGGAAGCTCACGTATCATGGAGCAGACCAAGGCTACAATCAAAGGAATTCTATATATATATATATATATATATACACACACACACACATTCATATCCATCCGTAGACAAAGACACACACCTATGGATAGGGATATGGAGATATATGTATATAACTTTGATTGTAACTACAAAAGTGAATGTTCTTCCTTATCCATTCATCACATTTCATAGAACCATTGCAAAATCTTTGTAACATGACCCTCTAGGCTTTATTCCATGTAACCACTCATGTGTGTATATGTGTGTGTGTGTGTGAGCATGTGCCTGTGTGGGCCCCCATGGAGATGGTGCAACTCTTTACACAAATGGGATCTTACCACACACGTTCTGCCTCCCCAGCTAGCAGTTGCTATCATGTCTACCCATGGATCTGAGACTATATAGATCTTCCTGAGTCTTCTGCCTCCTCGTAGGTGTGGACCATCATTTATTTAGATATCCCACCTTAGATATGTGGGATATTTCCCTTCCCACCTGTTACAACCTTGTTGCCAACATCCCCTTCCCGCTTACATCGCCGTGTGGGAATGTTCGAGCAAGTCCACAGCCCAGATGCCTGGAAGTGGGATTGCGGGCCAGGGGCTCTACACATTCCACATTTGGCTAGCTTCTGACAAACCCCTTTCCTCAAAAGGTGGATCAATTCCTCCCCAAAGAGCAGGACACAAGGAGCCCCATTTTCTTGGATGTAAATTTGCACCCAGGGCTCTGGGCAGGCTTCTGCCTGCTGAGCTGTCTTTCTGGTCACCTTCCAGTAGCCTGGAAGGCCAAGTCCCCCGGACAAAGGGAGGCATTTATTTCTTGGCTCCTACAAGATGGCCACCGCTCCGCTGCCTGGGGACATGTCTGAGGAACTCGGGCCCACCTGAGCCAGGAACTACATTTACAGGCTCGGAACTGATAATGAGCTTTTATGAGCTCTGGGGACCACGAGGACCACGTATTAATGTCAAGTGTGCCCATCAGCCATGCAGCCTGGGTGAATGTCACACATTAACGAAATTAAAGGCGGGAAGGAGCTGCAGGCTGCGTGTCAGGCGGTGTGGGCCGGGCCTGTCAATAATAAAATTACTTTCCAGGCTTTGCACTCCTGAGCCTGAAGCTGTCTCCCGTCTTCGATGGAATTCTGCCTTGCTGCAGCCCAAGAGGAGATTAGTTTATTACCAGTCTGCCAGGAAAGGCAAAATCCAGCACTAATTCTAATTCCCATTTAAGCAAATCTGCATTATGTGAGGGAAACCAGCTGGGCTCAGAATTTCTTCCTCCTTCCCCTGAGATCTCATTCCATCCCTCTCCTCTCCGCGGAGGGGGAGAGGGGGGTCACCACAGATGTCAGAGCAGGAGCCCTCCTGGGAGTGGGAAAAGAATCCCAGGGTTTAGGGCCAAGAGGGGGAAAGGTCTGGGTAAACAAGAGGCTGCATCGGAAGATGGCGGGCTGGGAGATGGTGCTCACCATTGACCCGGTTGTCTCCGGCTGCGGGAAGGAAAAGCCACCACCCTCCCAGCCCCAGGCTCGCTCTCGCCTTGAACAAAGATGCCTTGAGATCCTGAGTCCACCTCTGAGTAGCTCTGTCACTGTGAGCATGTGACCTCCCTGCTTCAGCCTCAACTTCTCATCTGGGAAACCGCTAACAACAGCTGATAGCTCATACGATGTTTGTAAGGATCACATGAAAAAGGGACAGATGGGTCCCTGGAGAGTCTGACACACACCGCCCTGTTTTTTGAATTAAGACTCCTGGGGTTATAACGGCACCATTATTTGACTGCCTTGCTTAGTTAATTATGACACGACACTTTGTGTATGATGCATCCTGGTTTCGAAGACCTTAAAATAGAAGAAATAAAATAAGGGGTGCCTTAAAATCCATGAAATAGAGGAAGCGCTCAATCAAGGGCAGGGAGCATGATGACTAGGAGCCAAGTTCTCCTGTTGTCTAAGGTCTAGCCCAAAACTTGGATCTTCTTTTTCTTCTTCTTCCTTCCGAACAAAGCAAAGCTACTCTGTGTGTGGGCAACCAGTCCTCAATTTGTAAGAAAAATCCTGAGAGGTACTTCAGCGTCCTGGATGAGACCCAGCCGAGAGCCTTGAATCTCTAGGTTGATGTTTCCCGCTCTAGTTTTAAACCGAGACGGATCACATGTACACAGCGGTGCGCGCACCTTGAGGACACAGCCTCCTGAGTCTTTACAAACACAGCACCCTATGTGATGCACCCAGATCACAGACTCCTCTCTGGTTTCCCAGCCATTATTTCTCCACCATCCCACATGTCCCAAGTCACCCGTGACCCTCCTCCTCTGTGGCCCCTGCCGGTCCCTGCCTGGGCTGAGCCTTACCGTTGCCTGTCAGCTTGCTGCAAACAGGCTCCCGGCCGGTCCGCTAGCCTGCGGCCTTGTTCCCTCCAAATTGCCCTCTTGTTTGCTGTCAGACTGAGCCCATAGATGTGTCTCTCTCTTGCTTCAGTGGGTCCCCTGGCTTCCCTTTGCCTACACACAGGCTTTTGATCATCTGAGCTCCACTTGTCTTTTCCAGGCCTTCAGGGTCCTCACAATATGCACAGACCCCACTGTCAGACTGAACTCACCGGGACCCACACGTCCCACTGTTTTGCTCACTCTGCCTGGCAGTCCCTTCTTCCTTTCCTAACCCTGAACTCTACCTCCCCTCCCACTCTCCAAAACACCCGGCAAACTCCTATTCATCCTTCAAAACCTTCCTTCAATATCTCCTCTGAGAAACCTTCCCAGACCTCCACAGGCACGATTAGTCACTGTTCTCTGGGCTCCGATAACAATTTGTGTGTATAGGTAGTCAAGTCAGCATCACAGCACAGTATGTGTTCTGTTCCGTATGATTTTTCTCATCTACCAGACTATGAGTTCCTCTAGGATAGGGATGATCTCTTACTTCCTCTGTGGTCTCAGTTCCTGACTCAGCAAATAAAGCTGGATGGAAGGATGGATGGATAGCTGCTAGGATACATGGATGGATGGAGGAGGAGAGACTGGATCTATAAAAGAGCCTGAATGGTGGGAGGGAGGAAATGGGTTATAGTTGGTTGCAGGGATGGATGAATAACAGAAGCGATGCAAGGATGAATGGATGGGTGGATGGATATATGCACGCAAAGATGCATGCATGCAGAAATGAATGGATGTGGGAATGCATGGATTAGGATAGATGGATGCATGCATGGACGGATGCATGCATGCATGGAGGGATGGATGATAGCAGGGACAGATGAAGGCCGGGATGGAAGGGGAACAGATCTCCAAGAGGATGGGTGAAATGAACAGTGGGAAGACAGAACTAGGTTAATGGCAGGAGAGAGGGAATAAATGACTCAACCACTTGTATAATTTTCCCTGAACCCCAGGGGGCTGAGCCTCTTGCAGCTACAGGCGGTGCCTTGCTTTCTCCCTCTAGAGTTTATGGATCTGCGCAGAGACCACTCAGCCGAACGTCGGCAGCCCCCAGTTCCGCTCCATCTCACCCCACTGCTCTAGCTGTGGACTCACAAGTCGAGACCTCAGGAAGGAGCGGTCAGAGTTATGTCTTGCCTTGGTCTTGATCCAGGTGGTGAAGACCAGTGCTACACGGAGATCGAAGTTTTCCTGAGTCTGAGTCCAGCCCCAGCCGGTGGGGCAGGTGGTTTGCCAGCCGTGGGACAGGTCTGCGATAGGTCAACTGCTTGGTCTGGAGCAGACGGATGGCTGATGGGGGTGCCATGCTCCCTTGCAAAGATACCATTTGGGAGACCCTAAAATGGCCAAGGGGCCAGGCTATGTGGAC